GATTATGGCTGCCTTGGAACCAATCAAGGACAATGAAGAAGCTGTTAGGGCCTATGGGATTCACCTTGGAACAGAAATGTGCAAGAAGATTATTGCTAGTGGGATCAGAACGCTACATATGTACACTTTAAACATGGAGAAATCTGCACTGGCAATATTGATGGTTTGTTTTCTTTACTTGTCATTTTTTTGTAGCTTCATTACGACAAACTACATATGATTGTGAAGAGAAAGCATCGTACTTATTTGGATTTCCACCTGCAGAACCTTGGACTGATTGAGGAGTCCAAGATTCAAGATCTTTGCCATGGAGACGGCCAGCAAATGTTTTCCGTGTTAAAGAAGATGTTCGTCCCATATTTTGGTAAGCGGATGTTACTCTCAGCTCCAGAATCCTCTGTAATTTTTCCAAAATTTAGTTAGTAAATGTCTGATTTATCCTAGCATATGATGTTAGGGCTAATCGTCCCAAAAGCTACATCTCAAGAACTGTTGGTTGGGACCAGTACTCACATGGTCGATGGGGAGATTCTCGAAATGCATCGTATGGGGCACTCAGTGATTATCAGGCATGCACTTCCTTTTAATCCTAGTAATTCCCTAGATGTGTTTATTTCAAGCAAATCTATTTTCGATTCATTGGCATCCACTGTTTTCCTCAAGCTTCTTTGGTGCCACAGACTTTGGTTTCCTCTCACTGATACTTCCCTTGCATTCTGATCGATCTTCTGGATTTACTTCCCTTGTTCCTAGCATTGAGAGAGATCCATCCTACTTTGTGGTTGATTAGTTAGTATTTCAGGCCCATGAGTATAAGCCAGGAGACTGCTTCTAGTATCGTTTTGCTGCATGACTTTTCAATACTCACCAAATAAATGTCGGAAGCTACTATTTTCAATCCCTATTTGAATTTTCCTCATTTTTTTCTTTAACTAGTTTTAAATTTTTCTGATACTAGAAATGCTTCTTAAATTGTTGCATTAATTTACTCTGAATCCTGGCAAAGGGATTAACTAACCCAAATTAACTATGTAGGTTTCACCTTTCCTGTTCTTGTTTTCTTCTTTCAGCCTGTGCATTGTTGCTTCATGCAATTCGACTGTATTTTATCTTCTTGTTGTACCTTTCCCTGAAAGAAAACTACCATACTAAAAATGATAAGAATCTCCTTGACAGTTCATGCGGCCACGCGCACGTGATAAGAAACTTCGTGAGGAGTGGACTGTCCCGCTGAATAATGTTGAAGACATTTATGAGGTGTCAAAACTTACAACTCTTGCAAACATATAAATTTCTGATTACAAAATCGATCCTTACGAAAATTACAATGCATCTCAGAATTTTATGAAGTTCTGCCTTGGGAAACTCAAAAGCAGCCCATGGTCTGACCTAGATGGGCTTCAGCCGGAGACCAAAATCATCAACGAACAGCTTGGCAACATTAATTTGAAAGGTTTTCTCACTATCAACAGTCAACCAGCTGTTAATGGAGTACAGTCTGATTCCCCATCTGTTGGTAAGATAATATTTCTACTTTCCATTGGGATTTTTACAAACACACACACACACACATGCAAATTATATAAAAAACCAGTCATCATTTTGCACACACCCATCAATTTGAATGAGATGAGGATCCATTCTTAAGATTCATGTGTGTTATGATCATTTATCTAATGGGAACTGCTTTTAATTGATTTCTTCAGCATATTTTAACCTGCTACTTAGGGTGGGGCGGGCCAGGAGGGTACGAGTACCAGAAGGCTTATGTAGAGTTCTTCTGCTCTCCCGAGAAGCTGAATGCTCTAGTTGAGAAATGCAAAAACTTCTCTTATCTAACCTACATGGCTGTGGATAAACAAGGAAGTTGGATATCAAATGTGAAGAAGACTGATGTGAATGCTGTGACTTGGGGAGTTTTCCCGGCAAAGGAGATTATTCAACCAACTGTTGTTGATTCCGAAAGCTTTCTCGTGTGGAAGGATGAAGCTTTCGAGATATGGTCTAGGGGATGGGCTAAGCTCTACTCTGAAACTGATCCATCCAGAAAATTACTTGAGCAGGTTAGAGTGTTGTTGTTATTATTATTATTATTATTATTATTATTATTATTATTATTATTATAATTATTATTATTATTATTATTATTATTATTATTATTATTATTATTATTATTATTATTATTATTATTTAACATATCCAGGATCCCGTCTCCCGGCTTTTGAAATAATTTACGGAAAAACAAAATTATTTTTGTGGTATTTTGCATGGTTTTGTTACATTCTGGGTTTGTGCAGGTGGAGAGCAGCTATTATTTGGTTAGCTTGGTTGACAATGATTACATCCATGGAGATCTGTTTGCTGTTTTTAAGGACATTTGATCAGTTTATTATACATTGCAAGAAATCGGCCTTTTTCCACTCATCGTCGTGTGATCTCCGTAAGTAAATCAATGAAACGAATTGTTTGTACTGCCATGTAGAGCTGTAAACGAACCGAACGTTCGCGAACAAAAGTTCGTTCGAGCTCGTTCGTGTTCGACAAAAGCTCGTTCATTTGTTAATCGAGCCGAGTTCGAACAGAAAATAAGGCTCGTTTAATAATCGAACGAACACGAGCTCGTTCGTGAACGTTCGGTTATGTTCGCGAACATTATTTTAATATAATTTTATTTTATTTTTTATATATTTGCAGAATATTTATAATAAAAAATCTAAAATTCAATATCATTTAATTTATTTTTACATAATATTTTTAATAAAAAATCTAAAATATAAAAATATTTTTATTTAATTCTTTTATTTTCGAGACATATAAATTTCGTGTTAATCCCACAGATTTAAAAGGTTTATGTATTAAATTATTCGAACACGAACGAACTCGAACTTTGACGAACAACTAAACGAACGAACTCGAACATGATTTTTTGCTTGAAAAATAAACGAACGAATACGAACATTGTTCGAACGTAAACGAACACGAGCTCGAACAGCCTAAGATCGGTTCGTTTACAGCACTACTGCCATGTAACATTTATATATTAATTCACTTGAGATTTTGGAATTTTTCAATTTATGATGTAATTTTAGCATGAATTTGTGATTGTATTCTTAAAAGGTCAGTCACAATAGCTCATCAAGTCCGGTCCCTGCTGCATTGAAAGCTAAAATAAATCGTATATGCGCGAACGTCTTCCTGACAGTTGGAAACTTCCTCCTTTACCCATGCCTTAATTTCATCTTTTCCATTGCCGAACTGGTGTCTTCCATCTTCTCTCGTTCTTGCTCCATGGGCTCCGGTTCTTCCTCCCACTCTTTCTCCCTTTCCACCTTCTCTGCTTTACTGTCCTTTACCCTCAGTACTTCTTCCTCATCAACTGTTGTCTCAACTTCACGAGACTTCTTCACAGATTTTCTCATCATCGCTCCAGCCCTTCTCTTCTTCTGTTGCTTTTTTTTTTTTGTGACAAGGGAACACAACAACTGACCCAAGACTCGTGGTGGGTATACTGCAATCCCAAAGACAAGTCTTGTTCAATGTCTACCATGTACGCCTGGTTTTTCTCAGCATCCGTCACTCGAATTGGAGTACATTGAACCTACATACAAAAGCCAAATTACCATAAGAAAAATAAGAAAATTCACATATCACAAATGATGCAAGAATTATAATGTATGATAAATATATTTACCTCGGGTTCATCTAACTCGTTCAAACGAAAAAAACTTTTTTTTGGGAAAATCCAACGAGCGCCTCTCGGTATATCATCTCCCTTTCATGTCAACCCTCCAGCTTCAAGAACAAACTTGAGCATCATCTCACAAGCCCATATCTTTGTAAAAAAAAAACAAAAAAAAAAATCATTAATGGTCTTTTTAAACAACTAGAAAATGTAAAATAAATAATCAATTTTAAATTGTATACATTTACCTGAAGAGGCATCAAATACGCGTGGATGTTGAACTGCACATCATAACCATCCTCAGGCGCACGTATGGCAACATCAAGGTAATGGTGTAATCTTTGGAAGGCACACGCCCCAAAGAAACATCTTAATAATCTCATACTCTTCCACTAAACTCCAAAGCCATAGTGGCACAGTGGCTCTAGGTCGGGTGCAAAGAAAAAATAGTGAACTATCAGTAGGTGTGCAACCTTCAATGCGTCGTCGGGGTACTCCGCGAACCTACCGTTCTTGAAGTCAGTCAGCAAGTCAACACCGACTACACTCCTGCCGTCGTAATGACGGCGATATACCCCATTTTTCGGTGGTGATATAGACTCGTGCTCGTCGGGAATTAACGATGACCCACCGAACTTCAACCCAGTAATTTGGCAAAACTCAACTTTGCCAAATTTATAATTTTTTTCGCCGATTCTATACCAATGTTCCTTCTCCTGAGCACCATCAACAACGACCTCCCCACCGAAAAGTGCAAGAAAGTGCTTGCAGTAGTTTTCCATTGTAGTATGCATGTGCATCGAACCTCAAAAAGTGTCCAAAAATCGATTCTTTGAACTCCGTAAGGCGGCCACACACACCTAATTGCGCATCAATGAGGCGTATCACTCCTGGCTTCGTCTGGCAGTTTATTTTGCCACTCCAGTTGCAAGCCTTATTCCCTCACCAACTCCAACCATGACCTTAAAATTCATGAAACAATACGTTATTTTTTTAAATATTTTCTAGTTATTGAAAAATAAAATATTTAAAATTAAAGACAAGTTTCTTGTCCAAAAACCGCAAGAAACATGTTTCTTGAGCAATAAACTAGTTTTAATGTTAGTTTCTTGTCAAGAAACAAGTTTCTTGCTCAAGAAACAGGTTTCTTGTGGTTTCTGGACAAAAAACCTGTCTTTAATTTTAAATATTTTGTTTTTCAATAACTATAAAGTATTGAAAAATATAACGTATTGTTTCATGAATTTGAGGGTCATGGTTGGAGTTGGCGATGGAATAAGGCTTGCTATTGGAGTGGCAAAATAAACTGCCAGACGAAGCCAGGAGTGATACGCCTCATTGATGCGCAATTAGGTGTGTGTGGCCGCCTTACGGAGTTCAAAGAATCGGTTTTTTTACACTTTTTGAGGTTCGATGCACATGCATACTACAATGGAAAACTATTGCGAGCACTTTTCGGTCTGGAGTTCGTTGTTGATGGTGCTCGGAGAAGGAGCATTGGTATAGAATCGGCGAAAAACGTTATAAATTTGGCAAATTCGAGTTTTGCCAAATTACCGGGTTGAAGTTCGATGGGTCATCGTTCATTCCCGATGAGCACGAGTCTATACCACCACCGGAAAATGGGGTATATCGCCGTCATTACGACGACAGGAGTGTAGTCGGTGTTGACTTCAAGAACGGTAGGTTCGCGGAGTACCCGATGACGCATTGAAGGTTACATACCTACTGATAGTTCACTATTTTTTCTTTGCATTCGACCCTAGAGCCACTATGGCTTTGGAGCTTAGTGGAAGAGTCTGAGATGTTTAGGATGTTTCCTTGGGGGCCTATGTCTTCCAACGATTACACCATTACCTTGATGTTGGCATACGCGCGCCTGAGGAGGGTTGTGATGTGCAGTTCAACATCCACGCGTATTTGATGCCTCTTCAGGTACATGTATACAATTTAAAATTTTTTATTTATTTTACGTTTTCTAGTTGTTTAAAAAGACCATTAATGATTTTTGTTCTTTTTTTTTGTACAAAGATATGGGCTTCTGAGATGATGCCCAAGTTTGTTCTTGAAGCTAGAGGGTTGACATGCAAGGGAGATGACATACCGAGAGGCGCTTGTTGGATTTTCCCTAAAAAAAGGTTTTTTCGTTTGAACGAGTTAGATGAATCCGAGGTAAATATATTTATTATACATTATAATTCTAGCATCATTTGTGTTATGTGAATTTTTTTATTTTTCTTATGGTAATTTGACATTTTGTATGTAGGTTCAATGTACTCCAATTCGAGTGATGGATGCTGAGAGAAACCAGGCGTACATGGTAGACATTGAACAAGACTTGTCTTTGGGGTTGCAGTACACCCACCACGAGTCTTGGGTCAGTTGTTGTGTTCTCTTGTCACAAAAAATAAAGCAACAGAAGAAGAGAAAGGCTGGATCGATGATGGGAAAGTCTGTGAAGAAGTTTCGTGAAGTTGAGACAACAGTTGATGAGGTACTGAGGGTAAAAGACAGTCAAGCAGAGGAGGTGGAAAGAGAGAAAGACGGGGAGAAAGAACCAAAACCCATGGAGCAAGAACGAGAGAAGTGGGAAGGCACCAGTTCGCAATGGACAAAGATGAAATTAAGGCATGAGTGAAGGAGGAAGTTTCCAACTGTCTGAAGGAGTTGGTTCTTTCGATAGTTGAAAGGAGTTTGAGTCAGCTTGTCCCCGGTGCCATTAATAGATGTGTTTAAGAGATTAGATGACTATATCATTTCAAGAGTTGGCAACACAACTCAAGGAGGTGGCAAGTCAAAGCAAGATGATGAGGTAACTTTTTGGTCATTTGTATTTGCAGAAATGCAAGGTTTTGTTATCCGGTAATTAATATTTTTTGTTCCAAAAAATCTTAGGCGGTTGATGAGGAGGTTCATGTTCAGGAGCAGTCGTCGGAGGTTGTGGAGAAGTTTTCTCAAGCCGATGTTAGTGAGGTAATTTTTTTTCACATTAGTATTTCACTTGTTCCTTTTGACATTTGTACATTTTTCCATAATTGAAATTTGGTTCTCCTAAAACTAATGTCCTTTGTTCCAAAAACTTTTAGGCGTTTGACGTCAATGAGAAGTCCCCTGAGGTGGAGAAGACCTCTCACGTGGTTGCTACCGAGGTAACGTTTTGACATGTTCCGTTTAACATTTGTGCAGTTATGAACTTTTCCACAATTAGTTTTTTATTTTCAAACGAAAATTTTTGGGTCCAAAACCTCTTAGGCGGTTCATGAGGAGGAAGAAGAGAAGGAGAAGGAGGCTAAGAAAGAAGAGGACAAAGAAGAGAACGAGAAAAAAAAGGGATTGTGAAGAAAAGGAGCAAAGTTTGGCCTTGGTGGTGTATGAGTCTGCTTGTGCTCAGAACTCGCACCGATCACCAAAGAACAAGCGACAGGTCTCTTCCATGGTGAAGAGGCTGCAGGAGAGGAAGGGGAGGAAGAAAAGGCAGAAGTCGATCGATTTTATGACTCCCTGTCATCCGGTTCGAAGAGACGGAAGAAAGAGAAAAAAGTGCAGTTGTTAGACGTGAATAGTGATGTCGTAAGTAAACTATCAATTTATATATGTAAAGATTGGATGATTGTTCGTGTTGTTGTCATATAACTAACCAATTATTATTTTGTAATGTAGGACAAGGCAGTGATTAAAATAGCGCGCCATGGCGTCGCC